AGCAAACGGTTGTCTGGCAGTTGCAGGCTATTCCAGCGAAATATACCAAATACTGTAGGAGCACTTTTGGCCATTTGAGTTGATTGTCTTGCTTGAGAAAGTGTTTGAGAAGAATGCGCACTATTAGTCTATTTTCTCACTTTATTGCATACATCGGTATAGTAGTTGAATATTTTGTTGTGGCAACGTGATTGAAGTAAATAGAAGCGAACTTGTTCAATAATGCAATATTTTTTTGCAAATAATTGACACTAATGCTCCGATTTTTCTTAAATTATTCCTTCATATCACTTATCTCCTCCGTGGGATTCTACAAGGCTGCACTCAATAAAACCAAGTTTTTCAGCTTAACAATGAAGCTTGTAAGCTTTAAATGGACTAGAAAACGAAAATTGTCAGATGCCCACTTTTAATAGCCTTCAAATCATTCTGTCAAGCTTTATGAGCTACAATAATTGATACCTTCGCCGTAGAGCTAGGTGGACTGGTTGGCATTCGTTTTAAATGGTTATTTTAGGGCATAAAGTTAGGTTTGCGAACTGTCTAGAGCCCTTAATTGACTTGACTTGTATACGTAAGAGGTGTAAGGATGCTTTATGTGCTATGTAGAGAAGTTTTATTTACCTTATTATCGAAAACCTTTACCAGTGTAAATGACTAGTAAAATCATTTCTAAATGCATCTGTAAGTAATGTCACACCATTGAAGCATGAAACATCATTCACAGTAGGAAATTCAGAGATGAAGATATATTCGACAATGTTTGTTTACGACGGGGAGCTCAACTCTTGCTTCCAATTTTTCCTGAACCTTTGGTGTCCTAGTTTCTAATTCGTTTGCCATGGAAATACCGTTTATACACGCCCAGTAATTTGTCAAAATTTGTGGCTAAACCTGTCCAATAATTAAGCGATATCCTAAAGTGATGAAATCGTGAATTTACGAAGTGAATTATGGCGTTACTGGTAACTATTAGTATCTAACATTGGAAATATGTAAATTTACATAAATAAGGGTCAAAATACAGTAGGACAATCTTCAGAAGCTATTCTTGACGTAGATGAGACTCTTATGAAATGAACTTTCTAGCCACACATCTTTTCTTTATAAGTGCAGGTCTTGGCTTGCCCCAGAAACCTATTATACGGCGCGGCCTGGCCCTCTTCCCCACTCGCAGTTTCAGACGCCTTCTCGGTCCCAATGAGAAGAATCTCGTATCACCTCACCTCTTACTTCCTGCCTCCAACTCCATTCCCAACGTCCGTTGCGAGGTTATCCGCGGGAGATACACCTACAAACACTACCTGCAAGTGAGTTGCATTAGAAATTCCTTTGGAGGCAGCATCATGTAAGATATAAGTCAATGAGGTAACCTGTTGAGGAATCAACTTTGTCGTTTCAAATGGTAATACCTTTGAGCCATAGGCTGATTTTCAATTCTAGATGGCTATATCTTCCGCTTCCTTCAGTCGTAGCTGTTTTTAGCTCATCTATGTTATCCATTACTTTACTCTCAGGTTAGAGTTGCCTATGGGATCACTAAATTGGATTCACGTTCATAAAGGGCCTTTTGAAGCGCTGCTAGATTGTTTTGTATGTGCGCATTTTCTGAAGTGACAGGTTTGGAAGTCGATAGCTTTGGCTTTCAAAGCGAGAATGGTTGTTGGTTTGGCGCTAACATATTTTGGTGTAATTTCATCCAGTTTCGTATATTTCAACAAATTTCTTGTTTTCTCTGCTTTGAGTCCGAGATTTTCAATAAAAATAATGATTTAAGAAGTTCTGTTAGAATTTGTACATCAAATAACTCCGGTATTTTTCGTTAATGCCACAACGGTATTGGAATCCAGGGCCAGCTCATTCATATTATTGCGTCATGAGGGAAGAAGTCTGTTTCGAAAGATGGATTTTTTTCAAAAGTTTTTTATTGCAGTGGCTAAAATTGAAAAGTGTTTGTTATTCGATTCAGACTCAATTCCTCCAGACGGTTTAAAGTGTTTACTACTAGGTTTTCGTAGAAGAATAGTATGTTGGGGCAATGATCTTGTTATGTTGGTAGCAATACCTTTGGGTCATCAAACGATTTGTTCTTAGGGCTTATTTGCAAATTTCAAGTGGCCACAAATCTATTAGTTTGCATCGACTTTTCAAACTTTCCTCATTCACTTCAGTCACTTTTTGCTTTCATAGTAATGTCTTCTAAGCCACTTTTGTCAAGATATTAGGAAGTAGTGCGAACCGTCCGAAATCTCCATGAGTAAGGTTTGGTTGGTGTTATTCACTGTTTGGAAGGATTTCTGTTCTAATTCAAGAAAACCGCTTGACGATAGGCGCATACCGTGTAAATTGAACTGAACGACCAGTAATGTTTAAAGTTAGCATTGTTACAATATTGAATTGTTTGAAGCAAATTTCCAAGACAAAGATGTTGAATGTGTTAATCAAACGGACCAGATTCCGAGGTGGAGCGCTCAGTTTTGCGGCTTGCTTTTATTCACTGTCACTGCTCAAACTCTCGATAAAGGCTTTGCTTGGGTTTTTATTAGACTTTTGGCTGTTATGCCTTTCGAACGTTGAACCACTTTATTCGGTCTATGAAATACCTTCAACCCTTACTATAGAAACATCGACTATTGTTCTCCCTACCTACTCGGATTTAAGGACTACTTCTTTAGTGCTATTTTGGATAAGAACTGAGTAATCTGATTTCCGCCGACTTAAAATCGACATTTTAATAGCCCATTTTCCTTTTGAGAAAAGTAGGGTATTACCATCTATTTTTTCGACCTTTATTCGCTGTTAGTAAAGCAAAAATTTTGTTTAATCGCATAGTGACAGTTTACAAATACGAATGTACTCTTAAAGTGGATCTACGCAAAAAATGGTATTTTCGACCAGTTTTATGCAATTCATGTGGCCTTGATTACTCTTAATTTTGAAGGTATATTTTATATGATTTTAGTGTTTTAACTTGAATAAGGAGGGAGGGCCCATGATGAACTTTTCTGCATTGCCGCTTTTAAGATTCTTCATTTTTAAGACAGTTTTCTCTGTTGTTTCTTCTCTTTTTACTCCATCGATGAAGACAAGGAAGAAATTAGGTATTTATTGTTCTTACCATTGATGCCTTGATCCTCTTCTTTTCCTTTCTTGGTACATGCCAGGATGGCGTGGACGACAAGAACTGGGGCTGTGCATACCGCTCGCTGCAGACGCTGGCCTCGTGGCTGCTGTGGCAGGGCATAGTAACACCGCTGCAGCCACTGCCCTCGCACCGAGACATTCAGGAGGCTCTCGTTAGAGTCGGTGACAAACCCTCCAAATTCATCGGCTCGCGACAGTGGATAGGTTCTTTGGAGGTGAGCCTTTGCACTTCTCTCCTAGTCTGGCTTGTCGCCGTCTATTCATCTGTCTGCTAAAGCCTTCTGTTTGTACGTTTATACTTCTCTCAACTTATCGTTCTGTTGTTCTATATGTTTATTCACGTGCCTAGTCATCTGCCTGTTTGTATATCACTCTACCCGTTTTTCTTTCTATCTGCCTATTCGCCTCTTTTTCTTTACCTACAGTTCCACCTTTCTGTCTACCTGGCTCCCTCTATATATTTGTTTGTTGTCCAATTCCCTGCATACCGTAAGTTATTTCTGTCCAAAACACGCATAAGGAAGGACTAAAAGAAAAGCATGAGCAGAATCCTCTGCTGATGTTGTACGGACCAAAGCAAAGACGACCAAAAAGATCCGCGTAGTTAATTATGTAGTTGCAACGAATACCGTTCTATGCAGTAGCAAAATGAGTTCATGCTTTTTATGCTAAAATCCTAATAACAGCTGATTGCTTAGATTTTTTTATTGAACTACTGATTACGACCTACATTCCTCCAGAAGTTTGAAACATTTTTGCCCCAAGCACCCCTGTTCCTATATCATCTTTATTCTTTATTTGTCCACTCCATTTCTCATGCGATCATGTGAATACCTAATGCTTACGCCGGAAGAAACGAATAATTACTTGAGAGATCGGGAAAATACCATCAGGAGAATACGGGGAAGGAGGTTAGGAACAGAGCAGTACCTCCCCTCTCATCCTAACTAAAGTGCAAATCTTTTGACAGGCAAGTTTATTGGTGTAAGGCATAAGGTCTTGGATTGCCCAGCAATTATAACAGAAAAACTTTCCTTTGATGGATTCACTAGTTCTTGTTATTCCTCAAGAGCGTGTTACCTGTGTACACCTTCCAGGTGTGTCGTATCAAGGGGATAGAACTCAGCCGTAATTGCTTGGCCTACAGTAAGTGAATACTTCCATCCTGGGTGCATCAGACATACACGAAGTAGGCTTTAGTCTTCTGAGGCTGAAGTGGTGGGTATTCTAGACCTGTGGGGTGAGTGTTTTGCAGTCCACCTTCATTTTAGCTGTAGTTCATCACTCATCACTGCTTTTGATGAGTGAAATGAGCTCATCTTATGCACAAAACTGACTGCCATG